GGAAACCAAACCTGGGTCCTCTGTAAGAGCAACAAGTGTTCTTAACTAATGAGTTCTCACTCTCTCTAGCTCCTGAAATCTTTTTAAAAAGAAAATAATTTCACTACTGTATTTTATTTATCATTAAGAGAAACATAAATAGCAGCAAGCTGAGAAGATGACGCTGAAAGGACACAGGCTTGACTATGTGTGAGCATTCGCTCTAGAGACCCGCTGTCCGCGGCCACCTACACTGTGCCTTATACCTGAAACCTACTGAAGACACATCTCAAATGTTCTCACCACGAAAAGAAGGGCACAAGACAGCAATGGCTACTTTAACTGGTGCTACTGTGCTGATCACTTCAGTGTAGATGTGAATCCAAACACTGAGCTGTACATCTTAAATACATACAATTTTTGTCGATTACAGCTTGCCAAAGCTAGAAAGAGAATATAATCATAAAATATGAACCACCTGAGCACTTCCAGGAACACAGAGCACTCGGCCTCTCCCTCCCTTTCCCACTTTTCGCAAGCCCTTCCCTACTTTTTCACACTCATCGTCTGGTTTTGGTCATCTGGAAACACGTCTCACAAATATGCTCACTGTGCCGAAACACCAGAGGGGTGCAACTACAACTTCCCAACTACAACAGCAGAAACAGACACTACAGCAGCTATTTCAAACCAAAACAGATTTGCCTATTAAGAGAGCCTCACGAAACAGCGAAGACTGTTTGGTTTGGAAAAATTCAAGGGGACGTGTAAACTGACTTGTAACAACACCCAGCATGGATAAAAATGATTTCCCAAGGGACAAATAATAATTTAAAACACACGCCCTGTGGACACGTCACCCCTGGCTCACCTGATCTGAGGGTCCGCCCACCGGGGCCCAGCCAGGACGGAGACTGCGGTGTACTCCACCGGGTTATAATCCTGCCACTCCACGAGCCAGCCCACCTTCTCATTAGGAACCTGGCTCCGCTCGACCTTGGAGCCGGGGTAAGGAGATGTCCGAGCCTTGTTGTGGGAGTTCTCATTGGCACCGTTAGAGCCTGACATGCTGACAGCGTCAAGGTGAAATCCACAGGACGGAAACGAGTTTCTGAGGAGAAAAGGGAAACTTCTTACAACATTCCAAAGCATATGAACTAGAAACCCAGCTCAAAGACTCCCAAAACATTTCAATTTCAAAAACTTCTAAATATTAGGAAATTGGGGCTGAAGAGATTGATGACTCAGAGGTATGTACTGCTCCTCCAGAGGAGCAGAGCTGGTTCCCAACACCTACGTCTGTGTCAGGTGGCGCACAACCACCTCAATTCCAGCTCCAGGATAGACAAGGCCGCTGACCTCTGAGGCACTGACACTCACATGCATGTGTGCATGCATACACTAGGATTAAAAAGCAAAATAAACACTTTAAATCAAAAAATTCAAGTTAAGAACATGTAACATCCATAAAGGATTTTCCGACATGAAGATTTTGAAAACTAGCTAAATCTGGACTGAAGCGGTAACTCAGTAAAATGCTTGCTACACAAGCACAGAGACCTAAGTTAGAGCCCCAGCACCGATACAAAAGGTGAGCACTAAGCACTGTCTGTCACTACAACACTGGAGTAGAGCAGGTGGAAAAAGCTCAAAAGCCAGCCAGGTGATACGGATGAGCTCCGAGGTCAGTGAGGGACCCCGTCTCAGGGGCCAATGAAGACATCTGGTATCACCCTCTGGCTTCCATATGTACACACACACACACATACACACACACACTGGCACACACCAGCATGCACACACAAACTAGTTAATCTTATAACTGTTGCCTATTGGCTGCAATTATTTTAGCTGAGCAAACGGGGCAGAACGTCAGTTTTATGTTCTTTTAGGAAAAGGGGGTGTGTGTGCTATGAAAACTCAGCCATGGGTAAAAATATAAACAGTACTTTATAAATAAATTTACTAAAAAAAAAAAAAGAAAGAAAGAAAAAAAGAAGGTTATGTGCAAGTTATTGCATGGCCATGAGTTACCCGTGGTGGCTACGGAGTCATTTCAACACAGGGTGTTTGTTTTTGTAAGACAACAACAAACTGTTTGCTCTGCCTGACTTTAGTCTGTCTTCCTTGATCCCACTCAGTGACTGTCACAACGCTGCCCCTTCATTTGTGCACACTCCTCACCCATGCGGTACTGTCAAACTCCCAAACTGCAGGGATGCCCACCCTATGAGGAGGCTCACACCGCAGGGAGGCAGGCTTCAGTGAAGAGCAGGAGAATATATAACCTGACTGACTTTATCCAAAGTACAAGTACAATTCCCGAGCAGTATTGACAGCCAGGAAGACCGCCTGATCAAAGCCAGCCTGGCCACTCAGCAAATTGCCTCACACACCAAGAAAACTTGCAGGTTTTCATTGTTTGCCTATCTGTCGGCATGCTTCCTTCAGCCACTAGAGATCTGGAAACCCGTTAGGAGTTTTCTGAAAAACAAGTATCATTCAAAGCTCATACTCAAAAATACATAAGTGTGAGACGTGTATTTATCTAACTAGATTCCAGGAATATGTTTTTTAAAAGCAACAGTTAACAGAGTCCTGTTCTCTATTTTTGAAATGAGAGATAAGTTTCATGGATGGAAATAGGACAAGAAAAACATATTCATTCTTCTATCCCAACCAAGCACCAAAACTATTTAAGTAATCTGAAGTTCTCTGTTCTCCAACTTAGGGAAGACTAAGCAAGCAAATGGTGCCAATGTGCTCTCCAGTCTCATGAGATTGACATGCCTGATGCTTACTTTCCTAATAAATTTAATTTCTTAAGGGAAATAGTGGAGCTGGGGAGACAACACTTCTGCTAAGAACAGCAACCACCCAGTCACTGAGGACTGGAGTTCAGGTCCCAGTACCATCTAAAATTCTTGTTTTCTTTTTTTTCTTTTTTCCCTTTTTGTTTGTTGTTTTGTTGTTTTTGTTTGTTGTTTCTTTCCTTTCTTAAAAAAAAAAAAAAAAAACACAAGCCCCAGATTCAGGGAGAGAATTTTCCTCAAAGGAATAGGCAAACCGTGAGAGATAAGACCCCCAATATCATCTTCTGGACTGAACACAGGTGCACAAGCACACACAACTGCACACATGCTCAGAGAGAAAGAAAGAAACATCCATAAATATTTTTAAAATAAATAGCAAAATAAAATCAGACGCTGCATCTGATAATCCCATTTACAGTGTGAGATAGTGATGGCTATTGGAACAAGAATACTTATTATAAACATATACTGAGCATAAATGCTTTTATTGAATAACAGATCCGTGCAGGAAATGTTTGCCCTAACAAATGGGAATTAGAAAACTAACAAAAAGCATCTTACAAAGCAGAGACCAGTTCCTAAGACTGGCAATAAAAGAAATTCAAAAGCGGCATGTTGCTTTGAACCAAGGAAAATCTCAGTGTTATAGATTATAAGAGCTAAGCATGCACTTGCAAGGCCCTGTGCTAAGCGATGGAATTCTGCCCACTCATCTGACCCTCACAAACCTCTGTTTTCGAAATAAGTCTAACAAAGTCTTGGGAGCCTAGTAGGCTAATTGGGGTCATACACTCACAGCAGTAAGAATGCAGAGCCAGGCTCTAAGAAAATGATAGCCACAAAACTCTTGAAGTGATACCGCTCTTAGAAAATGATAGCCACAAAACTCTTGAAGTGATATTGCTCTTGTCGCTCCCCAAGATGGTTTACAATATTAGATTAGCTGGCACTTGGCACATTCTTGCTGACTCAGCTTTGGGCTTTTCTTCTGAATATGCAGTTTCGGTTCTGGATACCCCACTGTCAAAGTTCCCTTCCCCATCTTACTACGATAAAGACGGAACACCGAGCAGCTTTGTATTGTTCTGGTACCAATCAACAAAAGCAGCCATCAGTGATTGCCCGAGTTGAGTTTCTCTCTCGGCAAACCCCACTGAAGACCAGATGTGTAAAGGGAAGTTCATTCACACCAGCATAGAGGGACGCTCTCATTGAGGGGTTTTATAAGCATTGTCGGGAAGAGAGAAAAGAGATAAAGTCACTGGGCCTACAAACCACAGACAGTAGAAGCCATTCTATTTTCAAAACGACTAAGAAAGATGGCACGTCTGCAACCGGAGTTCTGAGAAATTTCAAACTTGATCTTATGAGCCGGCTAAGAACCACGGAATTCTCTTTCCTCTGTGAAACTGAAGCTTGCTGAAGTCGGCCTCCTGGGAAATGTCAAGTCTGAAGTGTGGGCGTTTGTGCTCTAGGGAGGGGAGGGCGAGGACCACTGCTACAGACCCTGGCTCCGAGGACTCAACAGAAGCAGGCTAGCAACTTTCCCAGCCATTGGCCCAGCAGAAAGAGCGAGGTCCCAGCCCGCGGTCCCTGCGCACAGCAAGCGGTGCCTGCTACTCACACCGACAGTGCGTGTGTCTCCGTGACAGGCATCAGTATTAACCCTCACACGGGGCAACGCACAGTCAAATGCCCGGTAAACCCCGGTGACCTGCGAATCAACGCCTGCGGCATAGCCATGCGGGCAAACTGAAACATTGGAGCTGGAGAAAGGTCCTTGCTAAACCCCGTGCGCCGGCACAGCCCCCGGGAAAGGCAGGTCTGGGGGAGCCGCAGCCCGCCCTAGAAACGGGGTACCTGGACGCGGGGACGCCACGGCAACCTGACGACCGGACAGCCACGGACGCGAGGGCCACTGAGAGCGACACGGCGGCTACCGCCTGCCCCAGGGAGCGGCCGGCCATCGGCGCCTGGCGCGCGGCCGGCTTGGGGTCTGCGGCCGCCGGGCCTGGCCTCGAGCCCCGCAGCGAGCGAACCCCGCTCCCGGAAGACCGCCGGGCACTGGGACCCCACGGCGCATCCGGCGAGGCGCTCCACGACGCTTTACGACGGGGCCGCCAACCAACCTGCCGGCCGGGCCTCGCGGTCTGCGCAGGCGCGCTGAAGCCGACGCGGAAGGCACCCGGCGACGTGAAGGGCCCGGCCCGCGGCCGTGCGGTGTCACGTGAGCGGTGCGCGGTCCTGCGGGGACGCGGGACGACGACGGTGTAGTTTCCAGAAGGAAAGTCACTCGCCTTGCGAAACATGCGCACAGAGCAGGCTCAGCGACCGCCTGTGAGCAGGAAACGTGAGCGTCCCGCCCGTCACGTGACCCTCCCCGTCATGTGACCTGCTCCCCTCTGGGCCCTAAGGAAGGGATCCCAAACCTGAAGGGGTTCCTGAGCTCCCTATAGTCCCCGTTTTGCTGCTGTCCGTGGTGTTAGCGTCTCTCTTGAGCCTCTTGTCCGAAAGGACAGCCCGCCTCAGTGTCCCACTTGAACCCACTTGAAACTGGCACAGTCTGGGTAATAAGCCAAGTGATGCACGAAGGCAAAAGTTAGACAAGTTGAAAGTGGTAAAAACCAAGTGTGACATGCGGTCAGCATTCTGGCTTTCGTATTTTTCGTAGACAAATTTGTAAGCTTCGCCCTCTGCACTTTAGGAACATACTCTGAGGTATTGGCAGTTTCTTAAAGCCACACCGATCATATTTTAGCCATATCCTGGAAACTACAGGACTCTTGGGATGGAACAGCAATAACAAACTTGACACCCTTAAATTCCACGCTTGGATAAACTCGAAAGTATGAGAAATCATATTTTTTATTCCCACAGCCCAAACCTGGTTCCATATACTTAGGTCCTGAGGCGAAGTAGGGATTATAATTATATATCCCCTGCACTTTGGAGTTTAAGTGTTACGGTTTAGATAAAATGCTGCAGATTTCCAAGTAGTCCGCCAGCCACCAGCCACGAGGGACAGTGGGTCCCAGGCAGGGAGCCACGCAGATGAGAGAGCCCGGTAGGCACGCCATGCAGAGAAAGTGGGTGTTTATTTAGTGGGTTATGGAGGGAAGGGGGAAGAGCAGAGAGGGAAAGAGAAACAGAGGGAGGAGAGGCAGAAGCTCCTCTAAGGAAGGAGCTCAGGCTGGAATCAAAGGGAAGAGTCATTTGCCTTGGCAGATGCCAGAGTGGGCGAGGCTTTCTCTTAAAGAAACAGGAGAAATCATTACAACAAGCCTATCACTTCATGTTTTCCTGGGGCTGTGATCGCCATCCCTCTGAAGTGCAATCATTCGGGAAAACAATTCACCTTGGGCTTCAGTTCTTATGAAAGATAGTTGTCTTATTTTCACTTGCTCCACTGCCTCCTGCCATGAGAGAAATTTATTTCCCTGCTGGACAAGTAGCCTACCACAGCTGTCAACACTTTAGATCTTTCCACACAATTCCCCTGCCTTTAAAAAGCTCCACACTTTTTTTTTTTCATGAAAATATAATCCTGTTCCTAATCCAGTCCTTCTTATGGCATCAGTAGTCAATGAAATCTTCCCTTGGGTCTTTAACTGGTAGCCTCATATAGGATTATCTCTTTAAGATTTATTTACTTTTATGTGTAGAGGTCTTGCCTGAAGGTCTGTGCATCCCAAGTATGTAGTATAGTATCCACATAGGCCAGAAGAGGGCTTTGGACTGGAATTACAGATGGTTGTAAGATGCCGAATAGGCAGTAAGAATTGAACCCAGGTCCTCTGGAAGAGCAGCCAGTGCTCTTCCATCTCTGTAGCTCAGGCATTATCTTTAACAGCTCTTTTAGATACCATTTTTCTTCAAATATTGTTAAAAAATAACTCTCCGTTCAAAGGGTCTAAGAATTTCTTGGGGAGCAATATGTAAATGCCTATGGCCCCAGGAACAGATTTAGATGACTCCAAATATCATGTTCCTAGGTGGTAACAATTTCATTTTAGTTTCTCTAGCAATAGAACAAAGAACATTCTAAACATTAGTGAAAACATCCAAAAGACCTCGGTTACAGCACACCAATAAAATCTCTGATATGGGCCTCAGGTGTTATTTCATCCTCTTTGAGATGGGATCTGTTTATGCATTAAAACAGGGTTTGTGTAATAGTCACGGTGAGGTCAATAAATAGCAATTTAGATAGATAACACACAATAATTTGTCTCTGGAGCTGCAACATTCCAACTCTTGATGATCATTGAGACCAAATCAGTTAACCAGCCTTGTTGAATACTGATGCAGCTGTGGCTTTTCCCTAGGAACGTCAGTGCAATGTGCATTTGAAAGCAGGTCCTAGTAGCTTTCTCTGGGAAGCTGGGGCAGAAGGATCAGAAGTTCAAAGCCAGCCTACATCATAAAATCTTGTCTCAAAAAATGTGTATTTCAAAAATAAATATGAAACAGGGCATAGTGGTGCATACCTTTAATTCCAGCACTCACGAGGTGGAGGTAGATGGATCTCTGCAAGCTTGAGGCCAGCCTGGTCTACATAGGGAGTTCCAGGACAGCTAGAGCTGTATAGAAAGACCCTGTCTCCCAAAGGACTGCTTTGTTATAGAGGGAAGTGAGTGATAAGAAGCTAATGACATCAGATCAGGGCAGTGCTTAATGACTGGGGAGGTAGCTAAGTTCTTAGAGTGCCCTGAGGATTTGTGGGGTGCTGACACTCAGGAGTCAGGAGATCAAGATCATCCTTAGCCACATAGCAAAGTTCAAAGGCTATGCTGCCTTAAGAAAGGAAGGGCAGGAGGAGGAGAAAAGAGGTGGGGTGGGGAGGCCCTGTGAAAGAATAGACAATCTCCTGTGGTGAGAGAGTCACTTTCCATTGTAATAAAGCTCTCCTGAGCTGGTCACCTTCGAGCAGAGATGGAGGATATATGAAACTGCTGGCCACTGTGGCCACTGGGCAAGAAGAACAGTTCATCTAAAAGGAATGTAGACTGCATATACTCTGGGATAGGGAAGAGCTTTCCACTAACAACAGAAGCCCATACACTGAAGCACCCTGAGCAGTGAGGCTTGTCTTTCTTTCCTCTGCAGTTCCTGAGGAAAACACCTACTCTAAGATGCTACCTTCTCTCCGGGCAGTGGTGGCACACACCTTTGATCCTAGTACTCAAGAGGCAGAGGCAAGGAGGTCTCTGTGAGTTCGAGACCAGCCTAGTCTACAAGAGAGAATTCCAGGACAGGTTCCAAAACTACAGAGAAACCCTGTCTCAAAATAATAATAATAATAATAATAATAATAGAAAAAATATGTAACCTTCTCTAAACTCCCTAAGTTTAGGAACCAGCTAAGGGACCCGGGGGGGCCTCTGTGTCAGTGAGATGAAGGTGTAAGTTTGCTGTGTGAGTCTTGTGAGAACATGCTGTCTCCCTGGTAAAAGGGTCTGACTTGCCTCACGTGCACATTCCACCTCTACAATGTGTCCGTGCTGGAAGGAGGGCTAACTCTCCTGTACATGGACACCTGTCTGACTGCCCTGTCAGAGGCCTTGCCCAGTAGAGTACAAGAGGGAAATTGAAACTTAAATGGGGCCTTGGATATTTGCATCAAGCCTGGGCAAGCTGCTTCAACAGCTTTGGAGGAAAACAAATTTCACCTTGATTAAACCATGATTGGGTTCATTTTTTTTTAATCTGGTATAAGAGTGAAACATTTGTTGAAGTTTTTCTAGATCACATGATGTAAGAAGCCCTTCAAACTCAACAGATTGAGTCTTCACAAACTAGAGAAACAAGGAACTGTAGTGCTGTTGTTAATCCCAGCAGAGGCAGGCAGACCTGAGCTCAAGGACAGCTGAGTTTACACAGCAAAGTCGAGGCCAAGTGAGGGCGACCTAGTGAGGTGTGGTCAGGAGGCGGAAGAAATTACCCAAGTTGGAAGCAGACAGCAGAAGTTGTCATGAGTTACAGTGGCATGAGAACAGAGTAGTCAACTTTGCATTACTCAATGCGCGACATGTGAACTTGGGAGAAGGTTTGGTTTGGCTCGTGGTTTCCCAGGGCGGATTGGCCCTGTTGCTCTTGGTCTTCAGCCCAGGCAGCACATTGTGTGCAGAGCACAATCAGGCTGTTCACCTCATGGGCAGAATGTGAGAGAAGAAGGGACTGGGGACACAGTTCCAGTACCCCCAGAAGGGTAGGTGACCAGTGGCCCAACTTCTTCCCAATAGGCCTCAAGTCCCAGAGCTTCTGCCATCTCCTAGTAGCACTGCCGCCTGGAAACCAGGCTTGAACCGCGGGCCCAGGAGAGCTAGCAGAGTGAAAAGTCGGGAGGCTGCTTTCTGTATGTGTCAGTTACTCTCAGTTCCCCTCATTCTCATCATCTGCAGGGCCCAGCATAGCTGCCCTCTCTTTCCCGTAATAAGGACTGTCTTCGGGCCTGCTGTGTTCTTTACATTCACCCCCACAGCTTCTGCTTTTTCATGACTTAAGGAGCAATGAAGGAATCTGTAAAGCTCTCACTTAACAAAGCTTCGCTTTCAAGATCAATCCTGTGCTAGAGACTAAAAGTCCCCTTGACAGTCACGCCTTTGTTCTAAGCGTATCTGTTCTCCCCTCTGGAACACTGGAACTATTATTTCAATGGATAGAGTGCATCTGGCAATAAGATATGAGAATATTTTAAAAACACGTCTAAAATATTTCAAAAAATTATTCCCATGGTATTTTTCATTTTGATAATGCAATTTGAGCAAACTGTTTAACTTCTCTGTAAAGTGAGGAGATGTGACATTCAACTTCACAGAGCTATGAGAACTAAGCATAATAGTTTATAATATGCCTAATAAATGTAATAATAAATGTTTTCAAGCACTACAACATAATCTCTACAAATTGTCATCTATCGTACATGTTACCACATCTTCTAGGGCATCTGCTGTGGGTTTTCCTGGACTGGGAGTTGATACAGACTCAGTACCAAGTTGCAAATTAGGTAACTTGTCCAGACTCACACAACACATCTAATAGCTTGGACAGCCCATTCGTTCCCATAATAAATCAATAGTTGGGATTAGAAATTATTGGCTCACGGTTCTACAAGTCAGAAATCAGTTTCACAGTTCCAAAGTCAAGATGGCAGCAGGACCACACCACCAGAGGGCTCTACCAGAGAGTCTGTTCGTAGCCTTCTCTACCTTCTAAGTGCTTGTGACTTCTGGCATCCCTAGGCTTGTGGTCATCTCACTCCGGTCTCTGCTGTTGGCGTCACATTGCCTTCCTCCCATTCTGTCTTGGCCTCACCTTTATATGAATAAATATCAAGCTGCAGGCATGACT